CCATTCTTTCAGAGGCCACATTCATAAATGGGTTCCCCATCCAGTGAAGGCAAAAGCATCTGTAGGCAGACCAAGAGACCCCATGTTTACTTCTTTCTCTGAGAAGGAGACTAAGGTTAATATGCTGAGAGTATTCTTCTATGTCACACATCACATCTAGATCAGAGAAGGAGGAATGACAGCACAGATGACTGCAAAGTTCCGGGTTGGGCTTCCACATATGCTATCACCAGGTGTGAGGAAAAACCCTCCAGTGAGTAGCGCCTTATGTTCCCAAAGACGTTAGAATGTCTTGCATGCTGAATGTCACAATGTGCTCCCAAAATCTGCTTCATGGAGGACAGTGGGTATGAGATGCTGGGGTTGTTGTTGGTGGTGGTGGTGGTGGTAGTGCAATGGCGAAGAGTCAGAAAGAGTGGCTGGAAGGATTCGAAAGTGACTCCCAAGAGACCAACTCCTGCACACCCCTTTCTCCAGAGCATGCAGAAAACATATGAAGATTGACATAGCAGAGGTTAAGGGTGGAATTAAGATGTATAGTTATTTGACTTTGAGTTTCTCAAAGTGGAGATTATCCTAAGTGGGCCTGACTTAGTCAGGTGAACTTCTAAAAGAAAGACTTTCCTGCTGATCATAAATCAGTGAGCTGTTCCTGTTATGAGACAGCATAGGAAAGAGGCCCTAGAGCAAAAAAACCAAGGGCAGGTTGCAGAAGCTAAGAAAAGTCCCCTGTGGAGAGCTGCTAAGAAAACGGAGACCTCAATCATAAAACTGAAACTCTGCCAATAGCTACATGAAGTTGGAAAAAGGATCTCAAGGTCTCAGACCAGACCTCAACTCCAGCTGATGGTTTGTTCATGGATTTCTGAGATGCCAAGTACAGAATCCAGCTCATCATGCATGAGTTCCTGACCTCCAGAAAGGAGAAAAAAAGTCTCCAGGTTTATGGTCATTTATTACTCAGAAATAGAACACAAATATAGGAAGTTAGGTTTCTAAACAGAATAAATAGGAAGAAAAGAGACTACTACTCACATGGATAAAAAAAAAAAAAAGAAAACAGAAGTCTTTACAAACTCATTGGTGAGTAATATCTATGAGTGTGAGATTTTTCCCTAAACATTTTCATTCAGTAGGCTTTTAGAGACAGGATGCACATAATAAAACTCACATTTTTTTATTGGCTAAGCATATTCAATGTCATCTCCAGACCACAACTAAGCAAAGGCTCAGAAAGAACCCTCCTGTCCCAACTTTCTCCTCCCCTGAATCCAGCACTGAATACTGAGGTATTCATTTCTACATTTCCTGCTTTGAGATTTATGTATCTAGAAGAAAGCATAAAGGTGAAAAATACTAGGAATTGCCCTGTTAAGAAAATACTTCAATTTTAACAAATTTCTTTGAACCCTTTTGAACATGCTATGTAAGCATGCATTAAATATACGCAGATAGTAATGGGAACTAAATCCTTTTTACTTTGGATATTTTAAGTGATATCTTTTTGATGGAGCAAACTAGGTTCCAAACTTCCTTTAAAACTTAAATCTTGTCTTAATAACCCCAAAGGGAAGGAAGAATTGTGGTCAAGTTCTGATATGGCTAGAAAATGTAGGCTAATGCACCATTATGTTTGAAAATGGATGCTTCCTTCTGAAAGTTTTATATCTTCAAAAAAAGAAAAAGAAAAATGTTTCTGAAATGGTACCACGTGACAAATATTTGTACTACAAAACTATTTTTTCAAATATTTCCTTACATGTTCTCTTGTCTAGGTTAGTAGGCTATTATATAATCTTTAGGCCATGATGGTAAGTTCTGTGAGGTATGTGTAGTAGAGTGTTTCCAGAGAGGTGTTGTTTCATGCTAAGAGCTAAAGAAATTAATTGGAATTTTTTTGTAAACAGGGCACTTATATTCAATATTTGAATGGTTGTCTGCCTCATTTATATTTTAATTAAGCACTAAGTAAACGAACATGTGTCAAGAATAGTATATTTTATTTATTCTATTCTATAGAAAATATTTTGCATTTTTCAATAATCTTTACAAATTGCTTTGCAAATCAGGAAAAATGATTTCAACTAATGCTCCACATTTTACATTCAATGCTAACAAAGATTCTACTTCATAAATATTAAAAGGAGAGAATAATATCATTCTGTAAGCCAATAAAGTGTCACCAGATAAAAAGATATATTAACTTCCTTTATGTTACGAACACAACTGATAAATTTGTAAGATTATGTTATCAGCTTTTATATGGGCATAGATTTAGTTTTTCTTGGAAGAATTTTAGGTGATGTGTTAGTTTATAATTTTCCATTATAATTCTAAGTCAATAGGAATAATAATAATTCTGTACTATAGATTAGAAAGTGGTTGGTCAGGGTTTTGTGGTGTTATTTTTTCATTAGAGTTGTTTCAAGTAAGATTTTTTTAAAGCATGATCATAATATATATCTCAGAAACATGGCAGGAAGTATTCCAAGTCAGTTTATCACATGTTGAGTATAGTAACAACATTCATTTCAGCATAGTTTTTATTTGAATGGGTGACAATTTTGAGAACTTAAAACTCAAAAATAGTTTTATCTCACAAAATAAACAACTTCTATTAAAAATCAAGAGAAAAGAAGAATACTGCAAAAGTGTTTCAGGGAGAGTGGCAATATATAATAAAAGGATATCTATAAGAATAGATACCAGAAGATAAGGTAAAAGTTTAGCCAGGGAAATGGTATTCCTATGATTTTAGCTACAGCACCAATTTCCTTAAGGCCTTTTCTTTAAATTTCAGGCTATTCAGGTCACCCAGCAATTGAAAAGGAAAAGAAAAAGAAAAGCAAATGAGAAATTACAATTACTTTTTAAGGCATGTGTTTCTTTAGAGAGAGGAATTCATTCAATGATGTAAAGAAAATCTTGCCAGAGAAAACCTTCACATTACTTTACCACTTTGAAATTTACTTCACTGACTGTCAGATTTCAAGCAGACTGGATCCCTCCAGTGATCTTCTAAACCCTGGGGCTCGCAGTCTCTGCAGTCTTCAGCAGAGTTTTAAGCGTTCTATTATGCCTATAGGTTGGTGGGTGACAGTTTTACCTAATAAAGATTTCAATTTTCTAATTTCTTTCTTCATATTAATGTGTGGCTAAAACACAATATGAGAGATTCACACACACACACACACACCCGTCTTTTGGTGAAAGTAGAAAAGATGCCAGGATCTCCCCTTCCTTAGAGTCTAAAGCCTTTTTCATTAGCAACTGGTATCTAACTGTATCTTCTGTAGTACTTCCTGGAGTTCTGCTGGGATAATTTAGTACATATTGCACTCCATTCAACTTTAAATGACACTGAGATAAGCAATTACCATTTTCTAATAAACTCATTTTGAAGAGATGCATTGAGGATCAATGCTTAGAGCATTTAAACACTCAACTTGAAGGGCCAACATCCATATAAAAGTGCCCGGCTCCTTGAGTAATAATTATAGTTCCAATAACCAGGCAAGGTTAGAGACAGTTGTGGTCATGTCTGGTGGCACTTATGTGGTGGGAACAGTGGAACTGAACTTTGCCTACAATATTTTATTAACTAGTATCTACACAAGACAGGTGAGTACCTATTGGCTCAATTCACCCATATTATTTGTCACAAGTAGAATATAAAAAGGGGAACAATGGGTACTCCTGAAGATGAAAACGCTGGAAGAAGTGACCAAATCTCCTCCACACCAGCCTGTGATGAAGCTGAGTATCAGACACAGAAGATGAACGAAATCAAAGGAAGTTCTTCATTCTGCTCTCAATGTAAAACTTATCCAACTATTCCAGAAACATAAAAATGCAAGACTTGCTCCCTATGCTAATAACAGTGTGTGTCTAGGCTAATAGGGTGGAAATGGAAGTAGACCTAAGTTCTCATATTGTCTCTAAGAAATACACAGTCATAATAACAGCAATGATTCTTGAACTGCTGAGGAAGCTTTTAGAATAAGTGAGTTTATCTGGATCTTATATCATGGGCAGAAAGGAGGAATAGAGCACGCAGACGCTGCATATGTCAGGAGGATGGTACATTTTCCCAGTGGAACTCACCGAGGACAGTTGTTAGGGTTGGAAGCACAGACTCCTGTTCACAGGGCTACCCTGAAAACCCACTGACTCAGGCAGAGAATGATAAACCTGCCACTGCTGGAGGACCTGACCGTGGTCCTGAAACAGAGTCACTTAACAGGGGGTTCTTAACTGTCTCCATGCAGAAAACAGGCTATTTTCTTCTTCTCTCCAGCTTAAAAGAGCCAAATATCCATCCTCCAACAACCAAACCAAAAAATGTTGGGACTTTCTATTCTGATCAGATCAGCCATTATAATGACCTACCTGCAAGGTGTCTCCTTGTTAGGATAATTTCAGAATTAAGAGGTTAGTTGTTCCAGTTAAAAAGCAGGAAAGAAGGCTCTGCCCAACTTAGAACTCAGTCTAAAGAAAGCTCCCGCTTGGCGGTCCTGATTCTAGACTGTATTTCCTAAACTCGCGTGGGAAATCAGGTCTAGAAAAAAAAAAAGAAGCACCTCAGGATAAAGCTCTGAGAAAGAAAACTCCAAATTCGAATCTAGAGAGCCTCGAAACTCTAGAAAAATAAAAGTGCAGCCTATCTGGATCTTCACCACCTAACATCACCATCTCCTAAAGATGGACCAACACAGAGGTCCCAGGGTAAACCCAGTCGTACCCCCTTTCTTCCCGGCTCTTTCCAGCCCTTTTCAACCCCAGAAAGTCAAGAGAATGAACTACTTCCATCCCGACTGTGAAGACGACACCGATTCATGGAAGAGTTTAAAAAAACATATAGATCGCACAAAAGACACCTTAGCAAGAACAGAAGGCAAATCGTTCCACTGGGGCCGAAAGGAAGGCGGGGAGGCAAAAGTAATGGTTTCAAAGATCATTCTCGGACGATCACAGGCAACTCAGCCAAGTGCCCGACTTACGTGTTCCATCAAAACGAGTGGCGATGGTGTCCAGGAAGGTGTTCTGGGGCGCCAATAATCCTTTCATCACCGGCATCTTTCCAGCGCGGTGTGAGATTCTCCATCAAAGTTTGTCCGGAAGGATGATTCGAAGGAAAGTGCCCAAGAAGGGAGGAGAGCGTGAAGACGACGGCAGGAGAGAGGGGGGCCTGGCGTGGTGTGGGGCCGATCCCGGAGACTGGTTGGGGTGTGTGTGTGTGGAGGGGGGCGCAAGGATGAAAGGCGGAGAGAGGCGGCGAGTCCTAGCTGCCGAGGCCGAGGCAGGAGCAGCCCCGCGCGCGCGCGCGCGCGCTCCGAGCCCGCCCCGCACCTCGAGGCTCAGCCCCGCACTCCCGCCCGTTCCGGGGACACCCCCCTCCCACACCTCAGCAGCCCGCCAGGCGACACACGGCCCGCCAGGCGCCGCCCCACACCCCCCTCGCCCTCGGTGGCCAGGGCGCCGCGCCCTGACCTAAGGCTCCGGGGTCACAGAAGACTGCGCCCCATCTGGGGGAGGCTGTGGTGGCCGGCCTCCAGATCTCCAAGGGGCGCTCGCGCACACTCCCGCCCCCCACCCCACTCCGCCCCACCAGGAGCTGGTGAACAAAGACCCCTTTGTTCCCGCCCTGTCCCTCTCCGGGGGAGACTGGAGTCCCGAGGGTGTGGTGTGGTTCCAGGGGAGGAGACAGGTCCGGGCAGGTAACCCGCCTCCGCCTACAACTTGGGAAGGGTGGGAGGATCCCAGTGGAAGCCCGGAGGAGGGGAGACAGCCCGGAGGCAGCCCCCCCCACTTCTGCTGCACCTGCTATTGCAGCTTCCCGCCTCGCGCGAGTAGGGCTGCTCCAAGTTAGTTGCGCGGCCCCCCTCCTCGATTACCAGGAAATCGGCCTAAGCCCCGGGGTTTCCCGACCTTTCCTACCTAATCTCCAGAAAAGTGGTGCGAGAGAGAGAGAGAGCCTTTTAAGTGGACAATGGGTGATTTCTAATTCCTTGGTGAAATGTGGAAAGTTTGCTATTTTTATTGATTTGTAAAACAGCATTGGAGGTGAACACATTGAGGATGTTTTGCAAAAGAAAAAGGGGGAAAAAAGCCTTCCTAGGGATCCCCTGGCCTGCCCCCTTCCCCTCCCCGCCCCCCACGACGGACACCTCCGAGAAATAAAGACAGAAAGCCTGGCGTGGCTCCCGCAGCTGCAGGTGCGCCGGAAAGCGAAAGCGGTCTGCACGCCCTTCGCGGCCACCCCGGGCCCCGGCCCCCAGCTGCCCCCCCCCGCCCAGGTCTGCGGGGGAGCCCTGTTCCTGGGGACTGGATGGGGGTGCACGATCACCCCGAGCCGGGAAGCTGCAGAAACCCCGGAAGGGAGGAAAGTTGAGAGCCCCGGGAGCGAACGACATATGTAAAGCCCAGGTGCTAGTGCACCCGGAAGGAAAGGAGCGGGAACGCGAACAGGTGTCTGAGCTGAGCGGTGACGGGACCGCGCTCATCCCCGCCTCCAGGGGCTCGGGCGTGGCTGCAGCTGTCGGGGGATGGGGGGAAGGCGAGGGTCTTGATTCAGGGCTCAGGGTTCCAGGAGAGATGCAGAGAGCGGGCGGGTTTCATCACGGCTGCACCCTGCCTCCGGGCGGGTGGTTGGGGGGGGGGGGAGAAAGGAAGGCGGCATCCCCCAGTCCCCGCCCCTGGTCCCCCTTTCTCGTGATGCACTTCCTGCGGCCGGCCGAGGATTCCCTTTGTGTTGAAATTCAAGATCCGGCTGCGCGCGCTCCTAGCGGGGCGGGGGCGCGCCTGGGAAGGCGCGGGATCCCGGCGCGCGTGGCTGCCCCGCCGGGTGGGTCTCCGCATGGGGTCCCTTTCCCAGCGGGATCTAGATCCCGGTCACTGGTTTTGACCCCCCCCCACCCGCCCCCAACTCACACACGCCCCCTATTCTGTCCCGAGTGGGCTGTGCCTTGCAGAAAGCCAGCTGACCGACGCGGTGTCCCTGCCAGCCGCCAGCTGAGCGCCCGAGCGCCGCTGCGCGGGCTTCTGCGGGCTGCGCGGGCCAGAAAGAGGAGGGAATTCCCGCTGCTGCCACTTCCCAGGGCTGCATGGCGCCCAAGAAAACCCAGGCTGCTTCAGTGGATGGGAAAGCCAGACGTGGCTTGAAGTGCACAGTAAAAGTGATGAGTTGTAAGCCAGGACTCCAGTTCATCATATGTACACTGCAGAGCTCTGTGTGTGTGTGTGTGTGTGTGTGTGTGTGTGCCCCTTTTGTCTAATGGTAGAAATCACTGGTGAGCAATAAACTGCAGAAGGCGCAGAAAGAAAAATCCAAAAGATGGCTAGGTATGATTTCAAAATGAGCCAGACATTGGTAAAACACTGCCTTATTCTACGCTGTTTGGAGTCCATCCTGGGCATGACATGATCCCCGCCTTAAATCCACACTCAAGGCCTGGATCCTGTTGATCTGCAAAGAGTAGCTCTCACCTCTTTCACAATTCTTCTCTACACAGATCCTTTTCTACACTCTTACTAGGACTTGAACTCAGGACCTCCCTATTGCTGAGGCCCGACTCTACCATCACCCAGATTTTCATAATGAACACTGCCTTTACCACTTTGGGGTGGTGTTCTGGGCCCTCTTTATGTTATGGCACAAAGGCCCAATGATTTTCCTACGTTGGAGATGCCAGTGAGGCCAAACTCCTCAGCTGGATGGGGAGTTTATCCTGCTGAAAATCTTACTAGGTTTACTTAGTCACCTGGAAATCAAAGACCCTCTGTTTATTTGGTAGTTTTAGGCCTTGTTCATTTCCCTGTGAAAGTACACATCCAGTTTAAAACAGCTGTGTTTGCCTTGTTGACAAAATACACATTTGACTGGACACACTGGAAATATTCTAAAACCTTTTCCAGCACCAAGAATTTTAACCCTCAAGAGAAGGATATCTTTTACTTACATGTTGGTATAAATTAGCACCTGTCTAAACATGGTAGTACATTCCTGTAGTCTCAGCACTCAGGAGGCTAAGGCCTAAGGTTCACATGTTCAAGGCCAGCTGTTTACACTACAACCTCATCTCAAACAGCAACAATAAAACAATATAAACTATTTATCAAAAAAAGTTTAAATACTAGTTTTGTTCCCACCACTTACTTTCTTCCTGACTTGCATGTGACTTTTCAGCAAGCTTTCAATCTGTTGATTTCCCATAATACTTGGTTACACTCCTCTACCTGCTTCTCTGAATGGAAGAAAGTATTAGTATAAAGCCTTTGAATCTGAAAATGTACAGTGAATGCTGTTTATACCAATAGTACATAATTTCTATTTCTATGTTTGTATTTGAACAGATCTACTTCAAAGTTCTTTGTATCTGGCCATATTGGTGACTGCTTATTACATTGGGTGAGCTCTATATATTTTTTTCAAACTGACCTGTAAAGTGTTTCCTTCTAAATATAAACAACTTGGGAAGTTCAAGCCCATTCTTTGTTGTTGTTTTGTTTTGTTTAGTCATGGCCTCACACTCTTGGTTGGCTTCTCTTGCTCAAAGTTGGCACTCTACCATTTGAGTCATACTTCCACTTTTAGAGTTTTGGTTTTTTTTGCTAGTTTATTGGAGATATGGATCTCATGAACTTTTCTGCCCAGGCTGGCTTAGAACTTCAACCCTTAAAGCTTAGCATCTTGAGTAGCTAGGATTACTAGCTAGGATTATAAATCATGAGCCGTTGGTGTTTAACTTCCATATTAGTTTTAAAGAGGTGTTCAAATACAGTGCAACCATACCATCAAGGAAGATGACCTCTGGAATATTTAGGAGCAAACTTTCGGTGTTTCTAGTAGAGCACCATTCAGATCTCATTTCAAGCGACCTTACTGACTGAAAGATTTGAGTAACAGCTTGCAGCTGCCATGCCCATGAGTCTGCTGCTCCATTCATGCTGGGCCCTGCCCCTCTGAGGCTCCAGCCAATGGCCAACATGAGGATAGTATCAGAGCCCAGTCCTGTGATGTAGCAAACAGGTGATCATTGCTCAAGGATCTCCCATTGGCTCTTCAAAGACCCTCTTAGTAGAATATCACTCTCCCTATCCACCTTACCTTCTTTCTTCTTTGAGTGTCAGTCCTGTCTTCAAGTTGGAAGATTCTTCCTACCTACTCCCCATACTCATCATCACAGGCTCTGTCTCAACAGCTAATCCAGTCTGGTTGAACACTTCTGGGAATTTCCATATCCAACCTTGCAAATCAGAGAGTCTAAGTAAGAAGAGAGAACCATAGCCCATTTGCTGGATTCCACTGCTGACAATAGTCTTGACTCATCATTTAAAAAAAAAAAACCACCAACAAAGAACACCTCACAGTTCTTTCTCCCTGTTGCCTTCCCAGCAGCATCTGTTCCTCTTTCCCCAATTTATCATCCATGATTCACCACTTTCTTGAACTGTAATCTAGGAACTAGTCTAAATATTTTCACTTAGACACAAATAAGTCATCTGTCCCCAGATATCACTCTCTTCTGGTTTCTTCAGGATTATTCTCCTCCTTTTAGATGCTTTATCCTCTTTCTATTCCTACCATATCTCACCACATAGCCTAAGCATGCCTTTAACTTTTCATCCTCCTGCCTCCGCTTCTCACTCTATTTTCTTTCCCTGGTCTTCCTTCCACAAAACCGTTCTTCTTCAAATCAGCCTGTTTGTTGCATGAATGAATCATGTAACTCCTTAAAAATTTCTATATCTTTGAGAACAAAGCAAATTTGTTTTCTTGTCCATAAAAGCCATTCAAGGGCTGTCCTCCACCTAGCTCTCTCTCCTCATTCACCACCCACCTAGTAGCCTAACTTCGGCATCATCTTGCACTTGCTACATTCTGACTCATGTACAATCCCCAGAATGTGTTGCTTCAGTTCAGGCCTCCATCCTTATAACACACTATTACCTCTTTTTTGGGGGGTGAGGGGGAAGGGTCCGGTCGTGGGGCCTGAATTCTGGGCCTGGGTGTTGTCCCTCACCTCTTCAGCTCAAGGCTAGCGCTCTACCCCTTGAGCCACAGCACCACTTCTGGC